GAAGTGAAGATTTGATTAAAAAATTAAATGCCTTGGGGAGGGTGAATAGCAGCATAAATCTATTTGATGTTTATGTCAACAAGGTTGCCAAAGCAAACAACACAAACATCTGTCCATAGCATCAGTTGGAAAATACTGCAAATTGAGGAAATATTTTAATTGTGAGCAGTGGTTCACGAAGCTCCCCATGTCTTTATTTATTAGGCTGATAATATCACCCCAACATATGAACTTTATGTGGCACATATAAATAATTCATGGGTTAGCAAATAAAGAGATCTGGAATCTGTACACAGAGATGGCTGTTGCCAATTATCTCACTTGTGCAGAGCCAGACCCTTTCAGCTCCCATCGCTTGCAGCTGCTCTTTTAAATCATTCATCAGTGCTTAAGAGATATGCTGGTGGTGCTGGCAGAGAGTATTTGAATTTTCATTGTTTACACACTGTGAATTTAGCTTCTGGTCTGAATTTATCTGCAACATTGAAGCCTTTGAGAATATAGATGAGAAGAATAAGACAATTCCTCTTTTTATCCTTTTTAAACACTTCTATAATTTTGATTAACTGTTCTTCAATTTTACTTTATATTCTTTTTATAATCACTACTTTCATTTTAAAGTTATATTAACTGATATAATTCTCTATGCTGTTTAGATCATGAACACATCAGGAATACTCTGGTATATAAAAAAGTATTACAAAACAAGTGTCTGGTAAATATTATCTTCAAGGCTATAAAATAATTTTCCATTTTTATTTTAGAAATCTATACCTTATCATCTAAATATCTAGAGTTTCTTCTTTCTGTTCATGTTTAAGCAAAACCCTCTTGGAAATAATAATAAAAGCTGCTTAAAAATTGATGAAAAACCATGGCCAGTGCTTTTTTTTATCAAATTACCGAGGCACTGAGCTTCTGTGCCCATTCAGATCGTGATGGGTAGCATTTCCTGGGTGACAAATTTGCCTGTTGTCATTATAGAAATATAGCTCAATTTACTTCTTGCATGGATAATTACAATAATGGTTTTAAAGTCAAAGGCCCTATGACAAACCTGGACTTTCAGCTGTATTAATTGAAAACCTAATTCATGTAACTAGAGTCTCGTGCAGCATTATTAACCATGCAGCTATCTGTGATGTACAGAGTGTGTCTATACACAGAAGTTCTGTCAATAGTTTTTCTCCTTCCTCTTAAGCTATAAATAAAGAAACATCATTCAAACTTCTGTCAGGATGCTGGAGTTGACTGGTGCTATGCCGGAGCAGGAGAGGGGAGTGGAGCCTGCAATGACATTCAACCCCATCCCACTCAACACAGGGAGGCAGAGGGGGATAGCAGGGCTCTGTATGGTGCCATCTCTAAAAATTTTGTGGATGTGATGGCAGGGAACATCAGTGCCTGGTCCCACACCTTGGGGAACATCACAGCCTTGCTTGTACCCACCCCTTTGGGGCAACAAATCCAGCAGCATCATCTTCACCGTGTCATGCAGAAAGTGGCCTGCCCCTGATTTTGGGAACAGTCATGAGGTTATAAGGTATGAGCTGCATCTCCCTTACTTTGCAAATCAGGCAAAATCTCAGTATCTGCTTTACTTTCTCAAAGTACTTTGTGTTTTACCCTTCAAGGATGCCACCGCTGCCATGCTCTCAGGATCTCTGTGGGCAGGAGGCAGAGCATTCACAAGGTTTCTGAGGAGGGCAGGTAGACACAGGGGGATCATCAGTGGAGATTGAAGAGCAGAAGCAGCAGAACGTGCTGGGGCTCAGGAGTCCCCATCAAAGCACCTCTGGACGGGCTCTGGAGGAAGGAGACACCAAGCAGGGGATGTCCTCGCCCTGCTTTGTCAGCTCCCAGCAGCTCATTGAGCAAATTAGGTTTCCCTCTCAGATCCACACATGACAGTGGATGGCATTTAGCAGATGGCATGTGTAATGGGACTGTCACACCAACACAGGTTTAAAAATAAAGCTGGGGAGGCAGTTAATGAATATACAATTCTCCTTTCAAGGAATTCTTTCTGTTCCTGTCAGGCGTTAGGCACTCAGCTTGTGAGTGTTGAAAGACTTCTGATGTGTGTGCATTAAAAGACACAGTCTAGCATGTAACTGGGTTGTTTTACTTTAAAAACTGGCATTGAAATAAGCAATTTATGTAATTCCTAAGAAAGTGACTTTTTCTTCTTGATGACTTTCAGCCTGCTCACAAGTGAAATGGATTCTCTAGCTGGAGTGTTATTACTGAGAATATTTAATAATAAGATGATTCTACTCCGTAGTTTTCTGTATTTTTCCTTGTTTGTTAAAAAATAAAAATTAGGCAAGTCAAAAATCTACTTTTTCAAGGATACTTGTTAATTTTTAAATTTTTTTTAAATTTTGTATCACCTCAAACTGAATATCTTTATATAAGACTTTGCTTAAAAACTTTGATTTGGGGAGATGACACAATAACAGTAGCAGTAGTTAGAGGGAGACTATCACAATATATAATATATGTAACTTCCTAAACTACACACTAGAATTTCTCTTTATTTATTAGTTCCTTGCAACTTTTTCAGTACCAACAACAACAAAAAAAAAAGGAAAAATACATTAGAAAATAAAAGGATCCTATGCATTGCATTTCTCTCTTTATCCTTGTCTTTTTGTTGGCATTTCAGTGTTAATTAAAGGACTGCTCCAGCTCCAACTGAAGCCATTTGGGAGGATTCCTTTTATTTTCAGTGATGATTTTATCATCCCCATATTTATTAGGTTTGCTGCTTTTCCAGCAGACTGGCTTCTGGGACTGCAGGGAAAAAGCAGGGCAGGTATATAAATAAATATGGTCAGCATATCAATGTATATCAGTAGAAGAAAGGTAAATTCAGCTAAATCCGGGTGAGTAAACCTGTTTTCCTTAGTGCATTATAATTCACCTTCCTGCATTCTAAAAAATGGTGCTAATAAAAAAAATAGATTGTCACAGGAGGAGATTGTCAATTACAAGGAAATATAATCAGGCTGCCATAATAGTTAGCTTAATTATAAATAAAATTATTTTCTGCCTTGTCTTTGTAAAGGTAAAGTCTGGGTGAAACACTCTACCTGCAATGGGATGGGGGTTCTTGGCAGCACAGGGAAAACCACTAACACAATTATAGCACCTGAAAGCTTTTCTTGCTCTCAAGAACTTATTTAATGTAACAAACCAGTGGGAATGGCTCACAGGAACTTGTTTTTGTTGCCATTTTTGTGAACACTCACAATTACAGCATTTCAGGGGAATTTGCTCAGCCAGCCCTACACAAATTGTCATTGCACAAGTGATGATCCCACAGGATTTGCTTGTAGGTTGAAGGGCTTAAGAAGACAAGCTAAAAAGGTTGAAATCTCAGGGAATGTCAGTCTCTTAAAGCTGTCTTACTTTTGAAGCTTAAAGAACGTTGTGTTTTTTGATATTCAGTGTTCAGTTTTGGGTATCTCACAAGAAAGACACTGAGGTGATGGAACCTGTCCAGGAAGGGCAATGGAGTTGGAGAAGGATCTGGAGCACAAGTCCTATCTGAGGGAGATGGGGTTGTCTAGGAGAAGAAACTCAGGGAGATCTTACCACTCTCTAAACCTCCTGAAAGGAGGGTGCAGCCAGGTGGGATTGATCTCTCCTCCCAGGGAATAGTGATAGGGCAAGAGGAAATGGCCTCAAGTTTCACCAGGGGAGGTTTAGATTGAGTATTAGGAAAAATCCTTTCTCCAAAAGTTTTCCCAAGCATCAGAACTGGCTAGCCAGGGAAGTGATGGACCCCCTCCTGGAGGTATTTAAAAGACAATTAAATGTGGCACTGAGGGACCTGGTTTAGTGGTGGGCTTGGCAGTGCTGGGTTAATGGTTGGACTCAATCATCTTAGAGGTGTTTTCCAACCTAGATGATTCCATGGGTCTCTGATTCTGGGATCTCCCCACACGCATGGCATGGGAACCTCCTGGCCCTGCTGTTGGGATCTTTGCTGGGCACACAGATTGCCCCAGCTGCTCACACTTGCTGCTGTTGTACCACATTACACTGTGGGGAAAGGCAAGGAAAGTAAGATATCCACTGTCTCTGAGGTGGAGAATTCACCATTTCATCACTGCAGGGCTACTTTCACTGTCCTGGGCAGTACTGTCAGTCTCAAGAAAAAACCCACAAACAGGTATGGGAGCAACTGTGAGTGGCTGTCCTGGGTCAGCCCACCTTGGCCCAGTGTCCTGTGTCCAAGAGCAGTCCAGTAAGACAACTGAAGAGCAGGGAGAAGGAAGCTGACAACCATAATATGAGCTTGATCTCATGTAATAGCTCATTTTTCTATCAGCCACCTGATGGCTTTCTGAACAAGAAGATGAACCCAGATCACTGTGCTAAGGACTAAAGCACCCCACAGCATCCTGTGGTTGAAATTGTGGCATCCTGAATGCTGCAGCATCCTATGGCAGTGAATTGTGTGGCTCACTCATGTACACTGCATAGTAATGATAATCCTCTTTGTATAACACTGACTGATTTCAATGCCCAAATGCTGCATTTTAAGACAGAATATGTGGCCCTTTCTAATGTGAGAGCCAAGCTGGTGTTTAATTCATTAAGAGAAAATAATATGCAAAACAGCAATATTTATCCAAAGCATACAAAATGTAAATGCTTTGTGCTGTGATGTTTGGGTGTCATTAGAATAATTTTAAAGGCAAGTGATTTAATTGTGTTTGTGCTAATTATAATGTTTACAAATTAGGGAAAGATGCATTTAGTGGTCTATTGGGAAAGAGCTTTGAAACCTTACATGTCTTTGAGTCTACAGTACTGTCATCTAGTCATAAACTCTTTCTAACACCAGTGTGATTTGCTTTTTAGATTACTCTTGCATGAAAAGCGAGTCTCAAGAGCCTTCAGCTCCATGGAATTCAAAACCAGGTTCACGTGTGTCTGTGTGTGTTTTGACAGAAATTTAACCAAGTTCTTTTCTTCTCCTTTTCAAGGTCCCCGTGTCCCGATGGTGACTGTTCACAACACAACAGATGCACAGAGTAAGAATGGGCTTGAGCTTTGCAACTCTTCAGAGAAAAGCAGCCAGGCAGGACAGTGAGATGTGGCTGCTTTTTGCTAAACTTACACTCCTGGGGACCCCAGACTCTGCCTAAATTCAAGTTTTGTGCAAGGCAAAGGGACTTGCAGAACTGTTGTACTGCCATCAAACAGCTGCTGTTTGGGGAGAAAAGACTGGTTGGGGCATGTTTGTTATCCTCTTCCTCAAAAAAATGCATAATTCAAATCTCTCTTTTTGTTAGTCTTCCTCTGATTTTGTTTTGCATCCCATATATAAGAAATAAGATAAATATAAAAAATATTTAGCCTAATCCGTGGTTTTAATAAAATCACTCTGATATGAATTATCAGAGATAATGCAGAGGAGCGAGTCCCACAAGTGGTGCCTCTGCCTGGTTCCCCGATCTGTCCATGGAGATTGTAGCACTTATTGTTTGGTAAAGCTTTGTCATGCTAATTATTTGCATCAATACAAAGCTGGAATTATTCCAAAAAGAGGTTTCTTCCCTCAAAATATTTGTCACTCTCTATAGCCTTTACCAGACTGGCAATGTAGAGTCCAAAAAGCCGTGGAGTTTCAGGGGTTCCACTCTGGCAGAGTGTGGCACTGAGTCTTGCATGAAACCAGGATTTATCTGCTCCCAACATTTTGATGGACAAAGAATTTAGCCCAGCTATTTCTATCTGCTTTATACACAGTAAAAGGCAGTGTATCAAGTATAAGTTTTGTTTATCTGAATTTACAGCAGCTCAATGCTATTGTCTCGAAAGACAAAAAGAAAAGAGAGTGAGCAAACAAAGAAATTTGGCACTCATACTAAAGATTTACTGTGAAATGCTGACCTGCTTCATTTCCCACTGAGGGTGGTGAGTGTCACAGGAAAGGCTTTTGGCACAAGGGAGTGTCAGGTCGTTCTTCCCAGCAGAGCCTGAGGTTGGCAGTGCCCCATCCAAGGATAACCCCAGAGCAGCCCAGCTGATGCCCACAAGGCCAGGAGAGTTTCTTCACACTGACCTGCAGCTCCAAAGTCTCTTTCTTTCTTTCTCCCCCACTTTAAATAAAACACCTGAATTTTACCATAGACATGGAAGGTATCTGAGTGGCTATACCAGCATGGGATAGTGCTCTCATGAGTGGTGTTATACTCTCCTGTACAGTTTTATAAAATACTTTTAGGTGAATAAAATGACAGACAATATAAAACAGAAACAGTAAAATAAGGGCTTAAAAAACTAAAACAAAACACAATAGGACTGGTTTTATTTTGACAGATGCATATGGGCAGCATCTATTACACAGAGAACTTAATCTACTCATGTGCAGAACACATCCTCTACTGAAATTCATGATCTTCTGCATACAAACACCATTCCCCTTGGTTCTTTTCTATTTTACCCCCTCATTCTTTTGCTTTTGAATAAAGGGCAACTGGCAGTTGCATGTTACTGAATTTCATTATTTAATATGAGCCCATTACTCTATAAAAGAGAGTCTGCCTCTGTATTCTGCAATAATCTGATAATAGTGATTTGCACTGAATATTAGAGAATGCTTACATTTAATTAAGCAATGACCATTTGTACTCCACAGACTCAAGCTCCCTGTGGTCCTAAAGCAAAAAGGAAAGTCCTTTAGGAGATATGCCAATCTTTTTATTTCCTCCACAGTCTTCCTGGCTTTCTGTGAATGCAATTATATGAACAAATAAAAGGGCTTGACTAAATTCCCCTACGTGGCAAGCCCCTTTCTGCTGATAAAGCTACTTGTGTGTGCCATAATTAAATGAGAATCTTAATATTTAACTAAATGTAATAGGCTGTTGCTTTGCCACTTTTGTGGGGGTTGTGGCCTTGATAAAGAGCCAGGCTTTGCAGAAGCAGGGTGAATAGTCACTGAACCAATATAGTACTGCTGAAAGATCTCTGAAATAATATTAACTGGAAAGGGCAAGGTTTTGTTTGCCTGCCCAGCAGAGATGGGCAGTGAGAGCAGGATAATCAGGTACCAAAAGTGTTATTTGAGGAGTTGGGATTACATATCTATTTATCAGTGTGTCTCAAAAGGGAAGTTACAGTCAGTGACACACACACAAAATGTGATGTGAAATCTCACACCCTCCTTGGGTTCATGTGGCAGAGATTATGCCCTGGTTCACACCCAGACTGATGCCAGGGGAACGAGCACTCCCTAGGCAGGATTCCCTCACCCCAGCCCTTGAATCCCCCCTCCATGGGGCTCAGGATCTTTGCCCACACAGGGAGACATTTCCCACCATGCTAGACACACAACCTGAAGTGTCCCCTAAAGAGGGACCCCCTCCCTGCCAGCTGGGAAGGACTTATTCATTCTGGTGCTGGAGGTGGCTGCTTTTCCTAAAAGCAGCAGGTAGAGCACATGGCCAGGATGAGGGGATAAAGGTTAAATCCCAGGAAGGAGGAAGGAATCCTCTATTTCAGAGCCAGCAGTCTTTGGGTCAGACACACAAGCAAAATGAAAAATTTTTGAAATATTCCAAAATCAAGACTTCTGCAAGACCTGGTGTTGCAGGTTTGTATGAGTTTTATCCACCTTCCTATCCCTATGGCTTCCCTTCCCATGGATTTTATCTTGCACAGCAGTACAGCTTTGGCTGAAGCCCTTCATAGTGTCCTCCCCTTCCTATTTATTTTGTATAATTTGGACACAGTCTTGAGGACTTCTTCATTTGAGATCTATCTTTGCATGGTGAGTGGATGTCTGACTGGGACCCATGGTAGTGTCCCAACAGAGCAGATCACCTTCCCACCTCCTGCAAATCAGCTGAATGTCACTGATTTCAGGACTGTAGCTTTTTGCCAATGCAGAACTTGGAAAGGGTTTCAAAGATTTTGCTGAATTAGACATCTGTGAGGTCTAGAAGGAAATTCGTTTGGAAAGACTCTTGTTTTATACTTATCAAGGTGACTATAAAATGTTAAAATGCATTTTTTTCACAAACTGTGCTAAAAGTTTTTGTGATCTTGTCCTTCTTCTTTCAGAAATTTTTGAGCTGGAGGTAAATGAAAATGTGCAGCTGGCTGTAAATGACAGGCAAATGCCTAAGGTAGAATACATGGAAATCAAGATAGATGATTACAGTAAGTAGCACCTTTCTTCTCACTTATTTTTCTCTTTCACTGCTATAGCTGTGAAATGATAGAGCCATCCTGGCTAGACTGGCAGGAGGAAAAATTACTTTGACTCTCAATAAACTCTCACAGTTTGCAAAGCACTCTCCTGGAATGTGCTACATAAGGAGGTTATTAGAGAGGCAGAATTTGATGAGAATTCAGCTGAAGAAAGGCAAAATGATAGGGTTGGGGTTCTTTTTTTCATCTTAAAACTTTTTCAGTGAAGAAAAAGCCACTCTAGGAAATGACATGGTGGGGTGCCCCATTGTTGGAAGCATTTGCCCTGGGTGTGTGTGTGTCATTTGAAATGGGTTTGGAGTGGGATAATGTGTGTGCTTGCTGCCTACAGCTGTGGCTGCCTCTCAGTGCACAACTGAGCTGCAGTGAAGGAAGATGACTCTTGCATGACTGCCCTGTGGAGTCACTCAGGATTCTTTGAAAAAGCCATGATTTGGGAGGGTTTAAAAAAAAAAAAAAGCTTTATGAGGAAAGACAAAGGAGATTTCACCTGGAGTAAAGAAAGCAGACACTTAGAGCAGTAGAGCAGTTTGCACCTGCAGCTGGTGTGTTATTTCTACCAGTTGCATAATCATTCCCCAGATATATGTGTATACATACATATATATATATATATATATATATATATATATATATCCCCCAAAGTGGGAGAGAAAAGCCTGGTGGCAAACAGCCAAAGTGTAAGCCTGTCTCTATAGCTGTACCTGAAAAAACCTAAAAAAACATCTCCTCTGGCTGTTAGCAGATACCTTCCCCATATGGGCAAAATCCACATATTCAGAAATGCACAAAGGCTCTCCAAAATCCCAGCCTGCATGTATGGTGGCAACTCTAGAACAAAACCCCAAAGGCTCTGGGCTCAAAGTGTGGCCCATGATGTTTCCCATGCCAGGAAGTTTGCATTTCTCAGGCCACAGGCAGCAAGCTGTGCTGGGAGCAGGTTACTGATTGCAGCCATTTCCAGATGTTATAAAATGTGAAGCAAAGGCTGAGAGATGGTTGCCATTTGAAAAGATCACACTAAAATGTTCTGTTTGCCACATGGGCATAAGAAACATAAACCAGTGCATAAAATAACAGGAACAGACATGCACTTCCAAGTTTTATGGACAGGAAAGGATGGATAAAGAACCCATATTTCCCACCATCAGCCAGCTCATGTGAGACTGGCAGTTTATTAGGGATAATTCAGCTTGATACTAGTTTTTTTAATGCAGGTCTCATTGCCATTCTTCTCATTTAACCAAAAATATATTTGTATGTAATAAATACAAACTGGCCATCCCTGTATTTCCAAAGCTTTGGGCTAAGCAGCCTTGAGAACACTGCATGTAGCACTTTGTAAGATTTAAAGTCAAGTGATGGTCTTCTTGGCTGTCCCTGGGCCCTTGATCCAATTTGCAGCTATTAGCATTCAGATGGAATAACTAATTAGGCAGAGTGGCAGGCAAGGATTGCAAAGCAAACCACTTAAGCCATGCTGCTAATCTGTGTATTAATCTACTGAAAATGCTCCTAATACTGATTTAATTGCTGAGCCTTTGCTAATCTAGATTGTAGTTAACATTTCAAAAATAAATGTGCTGTCATTGATGCAGAGACAATTTTGGGTACAGATACAAAGCCACAGGAATTTCATTCAGTTAAAAGAAGCTTTAGTGATCACACCCCTCCTTTACACTGGTTCTGTACCAGTGTAACTTGGGCTTCAGCACCTTTGCCTCCTGTTTACAACAAAATTTAACCCTTTGGAAGTTAGGATTGTTTCTCCTACTTGTTTCTCCCTCTGTCTTGACACCATTATAGCAAAATAATTCAATTTCTCTGCCCCGGCCACCATACTTAATTGGGTTTTAAATTACCATTTTCATTGTCCATTTTCCTCCTTCTCTGCTGCCCTGAAATATTGATTTCTGTCTGCGTCACTCATCCAGCTGCCAAAAAAGGAAAATTGTAGCTATTGACAGATGTTAATTGAACACTGTAAAAGGGATGCATGACTGAGCAGCTTGCACTGTACTCCCCATTTACATTACTTGTCACCTCAGCTATCACAATATGGGTCTTTTCTTTGGCAACATCTGTGTTTCTAAGGTAATATTTGCTACAGCCTCTGAAGAAATGCCATTTTGATCCTACTTATCTGTGTCCAGAACACCAGAAAAATGTTTTGGAATCATATTAGCATTCCCACATCAAAGACATGTTGTTATTTGTTATCTTTTTTTGCTTAGGATTGCCAATGCAGATCTTAAAGCCAGCAACCTTTGCAGACACCGCTCACTACCCCTTGCTTTTGGTTGTGTAAGTTCTCTCTTGTCCTTTCTTTCTGTCCACATCATCAGGGCAGCTTGGAAACCTTGGCCATGATCAGAAACTTTTAAGATATGTTTTGTACAAGGAATGCCAGAGTCCAGAACATTGGTTCCTACCCCATCTCACTTCACAGCTGAGAGAGGCCAGATGTTCACCCCTTCTTTCCCATCTTTGAGCCAAGGTTTTCAGCTCTCAGGAGGGCAGCCTTTTGAAATCCTGCATAGCAAATTTTTCATTTTGTGAAGGCATTTCATGCACACTTCGATCACTTGTGGGGCAGAAATGGGAGGAGGAGGAACACAAGATGTATTTTGGCTTCCTGTCCCAGTGCTTAGGGCACCCGCCCTGTGATTAACAGGTAATTTTAGAGTGGAGTTCAGTCAGGCTTACTAGAGCTTATATTTTATGTGCCCTCATGCAGAAATCATTCCCTTTTAAGTGCTGGTGTTGGCTGAAGTTACAGTAAAGAGAGAGCTGGAAACCTTTGAATATCTCCACAAAGTTTGCATTTATATTAAATAGGTAGGTTTTCCTCCTGGCAGGCAGAGCAGATGGGTATTTCTTTATGCAACATTTAGTAATAATAATACACATTACAGAGTGGGTTTTTTTGGCATTTTGGAAAGAAACTGAGGGAGAGAATTCACTGACCTTGGAAGAACGTGTTTGGCCCTGGCTGCATCCCAGTGCATCCCTTGCTGCCTGCCAGGGAACAGCCCATGAGAGAAAAGCCTCATTGCAGGAGAGGTGAATGCCTGGTGAATGCCTGTGCCACCCTGCACAACTCTCCATGAAGGACAAAGCCCTGCAGGGAGCTTGTTGTTTCATCATGGAATTAATTACTGTGGAGAAAACATGTTTCATTACCAAAGTGCTCAAGGAAGATTGGCTCTCATCAAGCACCCAGCACTTGATTAGGCTGCCTCTGGAGCTGGGTGGGCTGGGGTCTCACTTGGATAAATGCAAATGACTGGAGTCACTTGTGCATTAAAGTCCTGCAGTGAAGGGCCTGATGTCTCTGAGAACCCCAAAAAGGACAAAAAAATGGATAAAAACGCCAGTGACTCTACAGTAATCCCAGCCTAAAGATACTGCTTAAAGTCATCATCATCATCCCTTGTTTTTTCTGAGCTGCCTGAATGAATTAGGGTCTGTATTTCCCAAGGCAGCTCCCCTGTACAGGATCAGACCCTAAGCAGAAGGGTGAAGAGGAGGTCTTGCCCACTCCTTTTCCCTTCTCACCAATTTTGGGCCAAACTGGACATAATTAAGCTGTTTTTTATAACTTCCAAAAAGTCCTTACCCTCTGTATTTTTGTGAAGCAGCGATGACAGAACCACTTCAGCAGAAATTTAAGAGCTTTGGGGAATGTAGGAAATAGATATACATTAGAGTGGGCATAAAAAGGGGACAACTCAACTGATGCCTGGTTACTCACGGCAGGAATCCTGACCAGTTAGAGATGTGCTTGCTGGTGTGGTTCAAACCACAGCCTAGAGGCTGCTGTGCACAGAGGGAGGCAGATCCAACCTGCAGCTTCCACCCAGCCTCAAAACCCATCCCACACAATCACCCTCCTGCACGCCATCCTTGCAGAAACCTTTGCCCTGCACGATGGGGCAATCCCACAGCCCTGGGGGGGTTGTTTGGTGTTGTTGCCTTTCCTCGATGGCCATTTCTGTTCCAGAGATGGGACACCTGGCAGCCAGAGCGTCACGGAGAGGTTCGAGGTGTCGTGGGAGAGCGCCATGGTCAGCTCCCACGGCGCCATCGTGCTCAAGTTCGACGGGCGCGGCAGCGGCTTCCAGGGAGCCAAGTTACTGCACGAGGTCAAGAGGAGGCTGGGCCTTCTGGAAGAGAAGGATCAGCTGGAAGCTGTCCGGTGAATGGCACTGTTATTGGAGAAATTAATTCATTGTGATAATTAACCCGAGACTCGTTAGTCCTGGTTGCGTTAACGGTGTGTGGGGTAGAGCAGGGAGGGAGGGATGATGTTGTACATGGGAGCTCATGTCAACCAGAGCGAAGGGAGGAAAACAAGCCTTAAACAGAGCTAAATTAGAGCACACTTATCTGTATCACATGTTCAAAGCCTATTTATTTTTAGCTCTGTACAGTCATACAGCTACAAACAAGTAAGCTTGAATATCTGTTCCTACATTAATCTTTTGCTTGCCTGTTAGTTGGAAAAAAATACGTCTTTAAATCCTTAAACTTTTTAAACAGAATAACCAGGGCAAAACCCTAAATGTCAAGTCCTGTCATATTGTTAGATTTATTCTGCTCATAATCACGTTAAAACCAATATCAGAGTATTGCAATAGCTGTGCAATAGCTTCCAGAAGTAGTGCAGGTTATTTGTTGCTATTTCTTGGTCAAATCCAACACATGAGGTTGCAAGATTAAACCAGAGAGATTCATGTGAAAGCAGCTTCACCTGATTTAGATTGTCTGCATCAAGAGGGAAGGGCTTTAAACTGAAAAGAGGCAGGTTTAGATTAGATATCGGGAAGAAAATCTTAGCTGAGAGGGTGTGAGAAATGTCACAGGGTACCCAGAGAAACTGCGGAAGTCCCATCCCTGGAAGTATTCAAGGCCAGGTTGGATGGGGCTTGGAGTGACCTGGGATAGTGGAAGGTGTCCTTGCCCATGGCAGAGAAGTAGAACTGGATGAGCTTTAAGGTCCCTTTCAACTCAAACCATTTTTTCTGGGGACAGTTTAATTTAAAGCTGATTAAAATCACACTGTTTTTGCTCTTGAAGGGAAAAATATTTTTAACCCATTGCTTTTCCTCTCTCGTGTTCTAGGACAATGCTGCAGGAGCATTTCATTGATAAAACGAGAGTTGGTGTGTTTGGGAAGGTAATGTTCTGACATTGCTCTTCTCTGCTGTCCCAGCTGGCTGATATGGCTAAACAGCTGAGTTAAACCCTGACTAATAGAATGTTAGTGGTGATTCTTTTATTATTATTTATTTTTTTGATAGCCTGCACCTTGCCCAGTGATGTTAAAGATGGAGGCTTTCATTTCAGCAATGTTCTCATCAATGACTTCTCTCAAATTAACTCCCAAGTGAAAAAAGTGACTGTTGCTCAGAAAACATCATCAGATAGTTAATTATTTTTTCCCATTGCAAACTTTCATTTCGTTTTCACCTTGTCTCCTAAAGCCTGTGGGTACATCTAACTCATGTGTACAACAACCCTGTGGATTTTGGAGGCTGATTTGCTGTGTGTGCCTGGCTGAGAAACAGCCACTGTAAAATACACACAGTTTGAGAGGAGAGTGGGACTGCAAGTAGAAATTGTTTACTTGGGAGACAAGGGCTTGGAGTGGGCGAGGAGAGCTGCAGGTAGAGCAGCATCTCTGCAGGGAATTGTTAACAGGCTGGCAGCAGACGCTGAAATTGTGATGCTCATTTTAAGTAGAGAAAGTCTGGGGTAAACATATTGGAGAATTAACGTATCTGGTTAGAGCTACAGCCATAAAGTGAGATGAAAAGGGCCAGCTCTTGGGCACACAACCCTCCTGCCTTCAGGAGGGTGCCAGCCATGTCACCAGGTATAGTAAAAAATATAAGTATAGTAAAAAGTGAAGCAGACCCTGACTCAGGGGAGAAATTATGTCTGGCTCCAGATCAGAAGGCTGAAGGATAGCTTTATTAAAACTATACTATATTACATTAATATACTATTTAAAGAGATAGTATCCTATTCTACACACTTACTTCTTACTTACCTAACTGCAACTTGTGACTCTGTGCTGAGAGCCCAAGCCACAGCTGGATCCAAGTGGTCACTGACCCCAAACAACCTTCACCAGAACCCAACCCAGCCATCACTGCAGGTAAACAATCTCCACACCACATTCCACATGGGCAAAACAAAGGAGCAGAGATAAAGATTGTTTTCTCTTCTTCTCTCTGTGCTTCTGAGACAGAATTATGTCTCTCTGTCCAGAGAATGTGAATGTCACAACCGGGGAGCTGTCCCTTGGTTTGTGTTTTTCCAGGGCAAGGTGTTAAAGGCTCTGTAATGGCCAAGCATTTGCTGCAGTGTCTCAGCTGCTCTGTTTCTGTACCCAAAAGCAGCAGTGTCTCCCAGCAGGAACAGTGATGTCCCTGTCCTGTTTCTGTTCCAGGATTATGGTGGTTACCTGAGCACTTACATGCTTCCAGCTGGTGAAGACAACCAGGTGTTCGCTTGTGGAGCTGCTCTTTCCCCAGTGACAGACTTCAGACTATATGGTAAATCCCTTCCCCAGTCCACAGACCCTCCTGATGACCACAAATTATATTTCTTCCTTATCCTTTCCCACTTGCCATCTTTCTTTCCCAAAATCCTGCTTATTTTATATTCTGTGTCTTTTTAGGAGTAGCCATAAACACTTTTTCCCCATTAAAGCAGTTTAACTGGCACCAATGGGACCAGCCAGTAATCAAATCACATTATTGCTACTTTTAAATAAAGGAGAATTGTCTTTAAACCCCTCCAGCCTTTGCCACCAACCAGCCCCACTGCCTTGGACATGCTTCCTTGCTGCCTGAGGCACCCATCCATGCAAGCTGAGGTCCAGTCTGCCCAGCCCATCCTGCCTCTGACCACAGCACTACCCTGCACATGGTGGTCCTTTCTCTCAGGGATAGCAGCTCCCTTTGCACTTAGTGCCAGTGAAAATCAGGGGCTGCCAGGGAAGTCAGTGGTGTTCAGCCAGACTTCAGGAGCTCTACAGTTTTCCCTGAGACCAAAGGAAACTTGCTGCTGATGGAGAAGGCCCTGTGTGAAAGGAGAAAGGGACACAACATGATAGAGCTCTTCTATCTCAGTTGCATTAACAAAGAAAGAAAAAAGAAAGGTTTTTCTGTGACTTATTTAGAAACCAGAAGTACGTCGTGATAAAGACAGACTGTGGTATCACACATATCCTTAGTGCATTTTCAAAATCTTTTAGAAATGCATCCTCTATAATTAAGGCCATGTTAGAAAATAAGGTGTTTTTTAGCATTTGCCATATTTGACTCAGAAGCACCAGTGTATTCATGACTGAAAGTGATAATTTCATTTTTCTCTTTAAGCTTCAGCCTTTTCTGAAAGATACTTGGGCTTGCACGGGGTTGATAACAGAGCATACGAGGTAACTGCATGGACACTGCATTTCCCTGATAAAATGTGAACTGAGTCTTAACTCTCCCTCCATGTGTTCTTCTTTGGGGAAGAAGCAAGGTTATGCAAGAGGGACTCACTAGTGGAGCTCTGAAGGTGTCCTTCAGCCTGCTTACTGCTTTTCTTGTCTTAATAATAATCATGGATAAAGTTTTTATTGATTAGCCCTTGTATCTGCCTCTCTAAATTGGGTAAATACAGTTTTAGAGATTGAAGGAGCTGAGTGACTCAAATGTGCCCAAGAGGACACAGTGTCACGACCTCCTTGAAAGTTCTTGCCAATGGTGTTGCCACTTTGATTTTCTCTGAGACAAACAAATTCAAGTGAAACTCAGTTTGACTTTCTTAAACTTTCAGAGAGGCAGAACTCTGTGCCAGAACTGAGCAGGACATGGAAAAGGAAACACAGCACCAGTTAATAAAGACATTGCTTAATATACATGATGGGATCAGTTGGATCCTGTGCTGAAATTACTTGGAAGCAAAACCAGATAAAGAATAGTCACACAAACAAAATTTGTTATAGAGAAAATCTAGTTCAGCTTCTAAGCCTTGTCTCCAGGCAGAAGATGTGAAGGTAGCAAAGGTCTGGCACTGTTCTCACAGAGAAAGCAGATACCACCCTGTGCCCTCACAAGGGAAGATTTATCCTGGCTACCTAAACTGTGAGTCCATTGTCTCTCAAAATTCACACTCATAATCTCTACATTACTGTGAGAGCTTTTTGTTCTTTTAGAAATTGTTTGTATTTATATTCCCTTGTGCATCTGAAAGACTGCTGAGGGCAAAGGTGTTCTCAACAGTGGACACTTGAATTTCATATCAGATCATCCCCCAGGCTGTCAAAACTCATTGAAGTTGACTTTCAAAACACACCAAAGTCCCTCCAGATGCATGAACTGTTATTAGGCATAGGCACCTGGGCACACTTTTCATCAGTGTTTTTTATTCACTTTGATATTTTCCATGTATTCTACAATTCAGGCTTTTATTGAATATTATCAGAACAGAGGAGGGTCTCTGGCATGTTCCTGCTGCTGACACTGCCCTGCCAGCACAGGGTAGGGACCTGTTTTACCTCTGGATTTATATAAGTAGCCAGGAGAATATGCTGTGCTGCTGTCTGCTTGTTATCCTGTGATAAAGTATTAAATGAAAATAAGCACTTCTATTGCCTCCATATAAATTGCTAATTTCTAGCAAGTTTTTTAATCTTATTGCAACCTTTACCTTCACAGATCAGCAAATTATCACACAGAGTCTCACTACTAAAGGACCAGACATTTTTGATCATTCATGCTACTGCTGATGGTAAGTTAGCCCATCATTTGAGCTCATTCTGTTTGTGATAGCTTTGATTTTTGTTAATTAAATGTGTCTCTTTAATGATTACAATCTGTTTTTACAGAAAAAATCCATTTTCAGCATACTACAGACCTTATCACACACCTAATTAGGGCAAAGGCTAATTACAGCTTGCAGGTACAGTATATGTTTCTTTTTTTCCTATTTGAACAGTTATTTCCCTATTTGAACTCAAGCAGCTGTTATGAAGCAAGGTTTGAAAAACCTCTTGCAAACTCAGGCTGGCAGTAGAAGTAGCACCAGCATATAACAGGTTTTTATCAGCCCCATGCTTATGTGACATCAGTGTTTTGGTCTGACAGTTGTAGAGCAATTATTGAATTACAGTGAATTAGGCTGTGAGGGACATATCCCTAAGGAATTGATGCATGTTGACTTTTTTTGGGAACAGAACAAATTCAGGATGACTTTCAGGGAAACAGGGTTTTAAATTAAATCAGCCAGAAAAGTTACAAATATATATGTCACCTAAATCTGATATCCCACTGTGAATGGCACAGTTCCACTTTCCACCAAATTATATCTCTGTTTTGCTGAATGGTTCATGTCTAAGCCATTAAATCTTTGAAAATGAACCCACCCTAGCATCCCTGCCTAGACAACCCCTTGTGATCCTCTTCAAGTTACCTGCTCCACTTTATTGAGAAGTTGATTTTAAACTATTTAATTTCTGGCTTCACTACTTTTTTTTCAATTTAATTACTTCTCCAGAAATATTTATTATATTTTTGCTTTAAAGCCCTCATTTTAGTCAGTATAACCTAATGCCATTTCTCTCCAAAACTGCACAATTTTTTGGTTTTCACAAGGAAAGTGTGGGCTGGTTCTTCTTAGACTGAACCTTTCCAGGACAGAGTTAAATGGAAAATCCTCTAACTCAAAAAGTTTCCTTGTGAAGAAGATGCCAGTCTGCAATCAGAGCACTGTGATGCCCAAACTTCCCTGGGCTCACGAGCATCCATGGGAAGCCCTGCGGTGGTGAGGAGATACAGTGTGTTTGCAGATCAAGCTGCAGCTCTGGGTGGTCAGTCCTGAGACTTTCAGCTCTGAAAAGTGTGTATTTACCTGTTCTTTTTGCAGATTTACCCTGATCAAAGCCATTACTTCAGCAATGCAGCCTTTGAGCAGCACTTGTACCAGTCCATTGTCAACTTCTTTGTGGAGTGTTTCCAGGTTCCAGACAAACTCCCACTAGCCCCACTGAAAGAAGAGGAGGAAGATGATTAACCCTACTTGTCCGTGCTAAGCACAAGGCAGATATCTCTGACAATATGCAACTGGATCCTTTTCCTGAAAAAAGAGGTGTTGTTAGCATGTATTAAAAAAAAAAAAAAAAAAAAAAAAAACAAACTGAAAGCAGCTCCTCTGCTTTACTTGACAGCAACTCCTTCCTAAATGGAAGAACATTAAGCATGGTGAACTCAGCAGAAACTGCTGTCTGAAATAAATCCATCACAACCAACATCTTCTTTCTCTTTGGTTGGTTTTTGGGGTTTTTTTTCTGTCTCTTTTTTTTTTTTTTTTTTTTTTTTTTTTTTTTTTTTTTTTTTTTTTTTTTTTGCCACAAAATGACTTCTACAGTGAAAATGTTAAGAAGTTGAACTTGAAGGAACACCCCAAGAAACCACTTTGAGGACTGGAAGATTTGATGTCTCTTTGCAGTCAAGCAGTAGCAGTGAAATCCATCATCCACATTAAGGTTACTATAGTTAGCATCACACTGTGTCAGAACAAAAAACCTAATCTAATAAATGGAGATTATAGCACAATTATTTTAAAAGATACAGATTCATACACTTGCCTGCTCTTTTCTATCTTCAAGAGGTTTGTCATTGCTACAGGATACACAAACCCAATTGTGCAAAATATCACTATAGTTACACTGATCTTTACCTTCCTGTAATTATTCTGTTAATTCTGTATGGCTTTTACTTCTGTTGTTCATTGGGTCTCATGCTCACCTTATTAGCTTCTCAGCTTGTTCTGGATGGGGAAAAAAATATCAAACAAATTAACCAACTCACTCTAGACCTCAGGGGTCTAATGAGGCAATGGGACTTGAGCTACCCAGATATTAAAAAAAATCTATTGGAATAGAGCAAAGAAAAACTCACTCTTGGGTTCCCAAAATAGCTCTTGCCAGCAAGATTGAGTATTTTCTTTGGCAGCCTTGAAAAATATGCACATAAATAAGCTAAATCAGCTTACCTTGAGATATTTTTTATTGCGATGTAGAAAAATATGCGACAGTCATGATTATTCTTTCTCTTTCTTTAGAGTTGGAACAAATGGTTGGTACCTGCTAGGGAACAGCTAGGTGAGGCTGTGGTACAGGAATTTGTACCAGAGACCTCACACATCATCTTGTAAAGCCATTTAAACAATGTGCAGAGATTTATTGCACATGCTGTGTGTGGCTTAGTTTTATTCCAGGTCAATGATTAGCGTATTCCAAACACATTTAATTATCTCTTCTGTTCACACTAGTTTGGACAACCATAAAAGGAAAAAAAAAAAAGAAAAAAAAAAAAGGAGTATTTTTTTGTTTTTAAAGGCCTAACTGTTCATTTGAGCAGTGGAAAGCAACTTTTAAAACTTCTTGTGAAAACATTCAGCTTTCAGAAAGGAATCCAACCTCCATCCACTTCCACGTACTGCGTCATAAGAATTTTGACAGTGTCGCTCCTTGTAAAATATTCTGACCAAATGTACAGCCAGTATTAATACTGTATATTTCATTTTGTTGTATATAAAGGAATGTAAGTCAGCTCTTTGTCAGATCCCCAATCCAATATTAGTCTTGTGTTCGACATGCATGCGTAACACTTCTTTGCTGATCAGGACTCCTTAGAAGCACTAGCTTGGAAATATAACAATTAATGTAATTTCTTTTCTTGTTTTAACAGCTTGAATGTCAATGCCAGATCCTACTTTTTCCATAGTACTGTGGGTAAACTCACATCCTGACAGCAATGATGATGTTTCCATTGTGTTCTTTAGTGTGTCTTTTTTCTTACCTTTATTTTAAGCTTTGAATGTTGGTTGTACTTTGACCATCATGAAAAAAATATATTGATAAACCACAGGAATTACCTAGTTTGGTTGGGATTATCTCCTTTAATTTACAGTGCATCGACATTGTGTGAACAAGAACTACGGTGTAAATCTGCTTTATCTGGCAAAATGCCAAACAGACCACGAGAATGCTGCGTGTCCAGATTTTGCTACGCTGAACAGGCTCGAGAGCCTGAAATGAACTTGAACTGAGAAACGTAAAAATCTGCTCTGTCCACAATCTTTTGTAGAAAGAACTTTAGGATGTGGCATGGTAGTGTTTGTTCATTCATGGAATAAAACATTATTTTACCACCCTGGTTGCTACTGCAGTTATTTTGTGTTGAGTGACTAAATAAGCAGCAAGTTTCTGGAAGTTCTATTTCTGGTTGAATTGAGCCCAAACTGGCACATGCTGACTTGCTGCACATCATCAGTGTTGTCCCATCAGCTGACACCCACTAGACCAGATTTAGAAGAGAAATGTAATATTTCAAAGCAAAACCAAGAAATGATTGGCGATGCTTACTCCAGTCTTTGTTTCCAGCAGATCAGGAAACAAGAAAATGCAGCACTGGGACAGGGAAGGACAGATTGCAACAGTACAAAATAGCTTTGCTGTTATTTTGTTTAATTATCTAAATGCAACTTTTATTTTTTTATTGTCCAAACAAATCAAGCTTATACTCTCAGCTCACTGGCATATCTGGATGCCATAATGTTCAACTGTGGCATCCCAAAGAGGAAGAGAGCCAATGAGCAGTGCCTCACTAATTCAGAAGGAAACCACAGAGGGAAAAATGAAGCCTTGCTGGTAGTAATTAACAAAGCCAGGCAACCAGCCATGTTTGTAATTGTCTATGGGTTCAGGCATAGAGCTCATAAACCCATCCAAGCTCTGTTTACAAGCTCAAGCCAAATAAACACTGCCTCTTTCAAGGGTGGGAAGGAAAAAAATTGAGCGAACAAGAGAGGTTATGTGGAATGTTCCCATGGGAAGACCAGTGGAGTCTGCTGTTTGCAATGGGGAGAAATGACATTTAGTGGGGGAGACCACAGGTACAAGGCCAGTGCTGTACCTGGGACGTGCACCTGCATTTGCTGTCATGCCCATGTTGTCCCAGACCTCACTCGGGTTGGCAGTGACCAGGCTCTGGATGTTTTAACTTTACTTGTTGGGTCTCAGGGCACATCTGCCCTGCAGCCCTTGCTGGGGCTGGCACAGAGCTGCCAGACCTGCCTGAGGCTGGGCTGAGGACAACTTTCTTCGTTGACCTGAGTAAATTCTGGCTCCCTGTGGAGCTCATTCCTCTCTGGACGTCTTACCTGCTTCCCACTGGCAAATGAAGAGTAAATGGCAGAAATGGAAAAGACAAGATCTCAGTTGCCAATTCCTTAATCATGTTGTCTTACCGAGCCCAACGTTTGCTTGTTTTTATTCTGCTCTCTGAAGCAAAGCTCCCAGCTGGAGGTCCAGAGTGGAGCTTAGGGAACTTGGTAAGATCTGCCTCCTCTTCCCACTTCATCTTTCCATCTTCTCCCCATTCAGCATGGTTACTGTCTGAAAGCAAACCCAGCACCCCTTTGGAAACTAGGAAGAGACAAATATAAAACCTGCATGGTGAGCCTCCTTAATAAGCCATAACCAAATAAATTCTTTATTCTAATAACTAGTGCATGATAATTTTTTTTCTTTTTGCTTTGAGACATTCATGAAAAGTCTCAGATTAAATGATGCTACATTCTGCCTCCTTGCTGGAAGAACAGTTTTAATCAAGATGTCCATGACTGAGCAAAGAGTAAAAAGCAAATACAGATGGAACAAGGCCCCAGGAAAGCACAAAAGTAAACCATGCTCCAACATTCCTGTGGAATAGCAAGGCTCCCTCCAGACTGTTTAGGCTTCTTTTTTTTTCCTTCCTTCACTTTAAATCTACCTTTTGGGTCATTTTAAAGCAAGAAACAACTCCCTGAGATGATGTGAATGCTCTCATCCTTGTTGGGAAAGGAATCCTTACAGAGGTAACAGCTGCTGTCAATGTCCTGCACTGCAGTCTGTGCTAAGCAGCTCCAGTAACTCAAACTGACATTTAATTTCCAGTGAGTATTTGGAACCTGCCTGCAGAAGACCCTGAGCACCTGCTCCCCACCACCTTGTTTGGGAGCACTCACAGTGAGGTTAATCCTTTACCCAAAAAACCAAACCCAGAGCAAAGCATGAACAAGGCAAATCGTCTGCTCCACGTTCTGCTCTGAAACACCACAGGAAAAGAGTGCAAAGGGTCAGGAGCCCACATTCTGGCTGTGCCAGCTCCTGGTTGACTTTTGTTCCCTGCAAATTCCCCCTTGAATGTGCAGGAAGCAGGGAATTGAGGAGGTTGTTTGGCCTGTACTCAGCTCCTTTGTCATCAGAGCAATGCTGCCATCACAGGAGCTGTGGCACACGTGGGGAAATGTGGCCATCACAGGAGTCTGGCACACCATACCACAAGTTTGTCATCTATTAAAAAGTGTTGCAGAGCAAAGGGGAAATAAGCCCAGAGGTGGGATAGCCCATCCTGACACAGTCTCTCCTCTGACAAGGTTAGGGCCAGGCCCATGAGAAACAAAGAGATCCTCCAGACATTTTCAGTCTGTGCACTAAGACAGGTGCCAAAAGGCAGATGAGAAAAGTAAAACTAACACATGAAACATAAATTTCCTAGCTATCAAGCCTCTCTGGAAAATCTGTAGGAGTCTAGAAATCAATGTGAACTGAAGACAGCTGAGATCTGGCTCCCACCTCCTCCTTGGAACTGCTCATCACAGCCAGCACCCTTGGAGTTGCCAGGAGCAAGGAGCACCTTGGGAAGGGAAGAGATATGGGCACATTCTCAGCCAAAAGCCACCAGCCATGCCTTCAGTTTTATCCTGTATCTTGTGCTCATGGAAGTTAATAGCCACTGAGGAAATTAGCACTGGAATGTGAGCAGTAAGCACACGTCAGCAGGTGTGCTGAAAGACAGAGAGGGGCTGGTGCTGACAGGAGCAGAAATCACTGCTGCAGGACTATCAGTACCAGAGCTGGTGATAAGGTTTTTGTCAGATGATGATGATGAAGGTGTTGTAGGAACAGGAGCAAACAACATCCCAGCTCTGAGGGGAAACAAAAGCCAGAGCTATGGAAGCATTTTTAATCCTTATCATCTCTACACAGTAGGCTGCAGTTCTTCTTGAAGAGGCATTTTTTAAAAGTAGAAGCCCCAGAAAAATTAAATTCAAACTTCATGTCTCTGTGATCCAGCAGACTTTTGTTTTTGCTGCAATGATTCTGATAATTATATAATTTACAAGGAAATTGGGATAGGAGAAACTTTTTTCACTTGTCTCTAGAGACAGGCTGTAAACAATTTATCTGCAACACAGCAA